GTGTGTGTGTGTGTGTGTGTGTTGCTAGCCGTGTGATTCAACTGCCTAATTGCCAGGAGAATTATTTTTACATAAGCTCTTGTGTTTGGTTGACAAGGTGGCATTAAGCAACATGGCCAAACCAATTTATTTATTCTTTGTTTGTCTATGAAAATGTATATATATATTATATTATCATTTAAATGTATATTCATGAATATACAACATGTATAAATAATATCTTCAGGAGCTGACGCGTCCACGATTATCTACTTCGTCGGGACCACATCTAGTGAGGCAATTGGTGCAAACATATTGACATAGGTTTATTCTTTCCGGGAACTCAGAAATTCAGAATTTTGAAGTTTAATTAAGTAAGCAACACGTTAGATAATGGGATTTCAAAAATAAAGATGAAATTATGAAGTTTCACGTGCACTTTCGGTGTTTTCAATTTTGAAAATTGTTGTTTTTGTTTGTTTTAGTAAGCTTGAACGGCGCTGGCAACTGCATAAGGTCATACATGTATGAGCGCGAAGGAGTGGATGAAGTCCAAACGGGGAATCAGGCTTACTCTACTCACCTCTCTAGCCTATTAACAGCACAGTCTGCTTCGACTATCAAGGCACCCCGGAAATAGCAGTTCAAGAGAGTGACAAAGATACAAAAGAAGTAGAGGAAAAGTGACGATAGCAAGGATGAGAAAAGAAAAAGTAGCAGTTCCCCCTGTGTTGTTCCAGCACAGTATGATGAACATGACATTGACATTGATAAATCAGCCCATTTACAATTCTACTGCGCATAAGAACGAGTTACATGTAATATCCCCCCTTCTATTAAGACAACTTCAGTCGGTAGCACTGCCCTGGTGGAGGGATTTTTGGTTTGGTTTGGTTTTTCTTTCTGGTGGGGTTTTTGGTTTTTTTGGTTTGGTTTGTTTATTTGGTTTCGCTTTTCTTTTCATTTTTTCTCGTTTTTTTTTAAAGAATTGAATACATGCCTTACTTTCATTGCTACTGTCCCCCAAAATAAGTACTTTCTGTTTGCTGAAACACCGACATCTACAAGCGCGCGCGCGCACACACACACACACACACACACACAAACACACATATATTTATATTCAGTGATCCCCTCCAACCATTCACAAGGGTCAACAGGGGTTGAGGAGGACACATTATCCAGCAGAAAGATGAAGGCACTTGGCAAAATGACTTTCTTTCGTCATATTATTCAATTCCAATTTCACATTGGTTTTTTTTTCACATACATGATATATATAATAATCCGTCCCCGTCGTTTTATGAAAGAAAAATTCTGAAATTATGCAAACTGAGCCCCAAAAAAGTGAAATTATGGGATTCTGTGAATTTTATCAAAGAATGATAAAGGAAAATGATCAGAAATTATGTAAAAAATGATCAAATTTTGCTAAATTATGTGGGGTGCATAAAACCACAGGGACAGATATAACATTGAAGGGCCTAGCCAGTGAACATACAGCATTATAAATATATTAATTGTAGTTTAGAATATCACTTCAACGAGACATCGACCATTAAGAGAAGGTTGAAAGGAAAGATATAACGACAGAAACAACAGAAGAAAAAGAAAAGTAGAATCTTCCACGAAATGATGCCTTCCAACAACCCCCGCGAGCGCGCGCGCGCACACACACACACACACACACACACACTCTCTCTCTCTCTCTCTCTATCTCAAACTAGAAATATCATTGCTCTAATGTAATAATCATGTCAGAAGATTGGTTACTTTTGTCTGCGTAAATTAGTACTTCCCTGTACTGCCCAAAGTTATTAGTCTATTAGTCTTCTACTTTGTTTTTCATCAGAGCCTCACGTAGCCTCTGTGCCATATTAAGGTTAACACTACCTTCTCTCCTGACGTCCCTATCATCATAATTATTATGGTTTGATTTAATTAATTTTCATGATTTTCTTGCAGTCAGCATCTGAAACTATGTAAACATAATTTGCACAGAACTTTCCAAGGAACGCCATATAATATTTAAAAACTTACACTGCCTCAAATTTCCATTGCATCAGCAAATTTGGTCGAGTTTTTTAGGCATACTTTTAAAAAAAGTTTTAGTGTTTTACAGCACTAGTAACACACTTAGATCACATAAGTGCCGAAGATCAAAGGTGTTACAAGAAAATTACAATTACAAAAATGAAGGAGAGATAAGGAAGATAGCTGTTTGATAGGAAAGCTTGATATGTTTTGAAACTCAAAACTTTTTTACGTCAAATTTCTCAAACTAAGTCCTGAGCAGATAGAACTACTTTGTAATTCTAGGGTAGCGACTAGGGCACTGGCGCCACCTCCACAGACTGAATGGGATACGTCCCAGGAGAAACCCAGAGAAGCTTGATAAATCATCTTCCTGGTGGGAGAATCAAACTCAAATTCTCTGCAAATAAGTTTTGTTTGCTTCGTTTGTTTTGTTTTAGTAGAGGTTTTTACGGCGCTCGCAACTGCATTAGGTCATATGAGCGCTAGTTGCTTTGTTTGAGTAAAGGGAAACACATTGACACAGTACATGTAATGGTTATTTAGTGCTGTAAGAAAGTAAGACAGACAGACACAATAGAGGGAAAGTAAAGAAGTAGGGTCTATCAGTTGCAACCACCAACTACCTGCACAAGTAAGGTACTAATCCTCACAGCACAGATATTGTTATCTGAACTTACTTGACGGTACTTGACCCTCTCCTATAAAAAACCCCCCCACATAAACATAGTGTTTATAATTCTTCATTTTTATTTAAACACAAACACACATTGTGGCAGCTGTAGAACGACGCATTCATTCATTAAGTAATTTACACACCATTGTAACGACACAGTGAAATCAGGGGCTTGTTCATTCATTTCTGTAAATAATATTTAATGGTATAATGTTACAGCTTGTTTACTTTTTTGCTTTTGATGAAAAGAAAATACCCACCTATCTTGAACGGAAGTCGAGATATTAACGATTGAAGGAGGTGAGGGTGGTTGATGTCAGAGGTAATATTAGCGAGAAAATGGCCACCATAGTTTGGTGACTTCCAAAGCTTGAGTGTTATTGAAAACTGCAAACTTTCTTCTTTTTTTTGTACCCTTGATCAAGGTTTTTCCAGTAAAATCCACACAGAAATGTGTAGTTAAGTGAACATTAAAGATGAAAGGTACTGAGCTTAAAAAACAACAACAAAAAAACAACAACAAAAATTTCCCTTTGGGTGTAAAAATGTTTTCTTCAATTTCATTATTTTGATGAGCACCTGGTTTCACTACGACACCACGCATTAATATAGGCCTACACATATCTGCAAATCCTGTTCTTCACTCCAGACAACTTTACAGGAATGCAGATTCAATATCACGAGAAAGCAATACTTCAACAGCAACAATAAAAAAAAATCAAAAGAGTCAACCCAGAAACAATCAAACAAAAAAAACAACAAAAAAAACCCAAAGTGGTTAGTCAATTTTCTCCACATGAGGTGCAACACAGTATGTCAGTCATATCTGACCCTTACAACGAAAAATTCATCTTGACTGTTAATTTTGAGTCTCATGGTGAGAAAACAAGGATAAAAATGAAGGGACAACACAACAACAACAAAAGAAACATCAGCATTTTCGGACATCAGGCTGATGGTTAAAGAAGAGGGCAACCTGAATTAGGCAGGTCAGTATTAAAAACAGCTGCCATTTCCAGTTTGAGTAAAGACGAGCACATCTACACAATAGGCCTACTAGTCATTTCGGGCTAGGAAAAAAGTATGTTTCTTTCTGTAGGTGGTTCATATTGTCATTTCATTTTGTTGTGGTCATATGTTTGAAAACTGCTCTGCCTGTCTTTCTCAAGGCCTATCTGTCCATCCAATCTTGTTTGCTGTTGCTTTTAATGATTTGTTTTGCAGTGTTGTATGAAGCTGGAATGTTGGGTTGTTCCTGTCTAGATCCTCGTTTGGCAAGTGTGTCTGCTCTGTCAATTCCAGATATGTTTGAGTGTCTGGGGACCCACTGCATCACCAGGTTGATGATTAAATTATTTTTTTTGTGCTAAAGATGTTAGATAGTGTTACAATTTCACAAACAACCAACCAAAATAAACATAAACAAAAGCAATTGTTATAATTGCAGAAAAAAAGCTATGAAAAGATACTGTGAAACATGGCAAAAATAAGAGAGGCAACACTCATAATTTTGTCTAAAATCAGCCTCAGATTGTTAATCAAAAGCATCGCATGTAGTAGAACACTCAAAGACCATGTCAGAGTCTCAAACATATGACAAGGGGTTCATTCCTAGCACAGTACAGCAAGAAAGGACAATAAATCTCTAAGAAAATTACCTAGAATTTTCCTTCATTTCCTCCACCTGCTAAAGTACTTCTTTTTTAATGGCAATAATCTAAAAAGGAAAAAGGTGAATAACAGAGGTGAATAACAAGAGGTGAATAACAGAGGTGAATAACAGAGGTGAATAACAAGAGGTGAATAACAGAGGTGAATAACAGCTTTGTGGTGTTCAACAAGCTGCCGAGCTGTATGTTGCGCGAGGGATGTAGAAAGTAAAAGCACAACAAAAGACACCGTGAAAATGTCTCTGCAGGGCTAGGACTAGGACTTCAATATTAATCCCATGACACAGAAGAGCCAAGCTCCTGACAGACCCAGTTGGACAGCCATAGAACATAGCTATAAACAATAAGTAGTTTACATGTAGTGCTCTCAATGGCACTGAACCACAATATTACATCACAAAGCAGGTATGCTTGAGACCTAAAGTATTCCAGGGGGAGCCTGTATGACAATAACTTAGCAAATACTATCTAGAGTGTTGTTGTTTTTTTCCAGAGATGAATAACAATCGCACATACGGAGCTCCACAAAATTAACGCATTGTCAAGTGGCAAGGGTAGCTAAGAAGCTGTGTGTTCTCCTGCTGAATCGCACAGTCAGGCACAGATAACTCAATCACTTCAGGGACAGACAAATGTGTCCGACATATCCGTAATTTGAGTAAATCGATAAAATGAAACATTACAGAGATATCAGTCGGGGAATAACAAATTATATGAGCTATCCATAATTTTTCCATGCTCATGTTATCTGTGACCAACTGTACTTTTACAGAGTTTGAATAGCATCCACTTCCCCCTTATGTACATACCCATTCCCTCTTACACTACATTACACACAAACCCAAACACACCATTTGCAAGAGCATACGACATGAAAGACTATTAAGAAGTTACCAATATTATGTCATGAACAAAGCCACATACATTTCAAGCCTCACCAGAAACAAATTTTTGCCTCTCCAATTTGATTTGTTGAATTACAGCATCAATGACAACTACAATCTTTACAAAAAGAGGAACAGAAAAAAACAGAGCTACTTCATAAAGACTGATGTTGTTTTCACCAATATCTCGTATATCAAAACAGTGTGAATTTGAAAATATAGTGGAACCAAAGTGGTTGCTCAAATAGAAAAAGGACAAATGTTGGGGACTCTACTTTCTTCCGGTTTACTGCTGTTTTATTATTAAATATGTTCGGCTAGAGCGGATTCCACTGTGTATGAAACATCATGAAAACACATCACAGCAGGTGAAGCCATAAATAATTGGTCAGACCCAAGTTTGTGATCCTAAAGACAAGGTTCAAAGTCAGTAAAGCCAACCCAGAGTGAAGAGAGTGAAGAGAGAGAGAGAGAGAGAG